CTGTCCCTCAGCTCTTCAGCTCAAGGCTAGCGCTCTACCACTTGAGCCACAGTGCCACTTCCAGCTTTTTCTGCTTATATGGTGCTGAGGAATCGAACCCAGGGCCTCATGCATGCAAGGCAAGCACTTTATCACTGAACCACCTTCCCAGCCCCACAGTGGCTCCTTTCTATAATTCTAGTTACTCCCTTCTCTGTCCCTCCCTCCCTTCCAAAAGTGATTTCTTATTAAATATTTAGCTCTCTGGGAGGATACACCACTCTCATCTGAGATCAACCTGATCCCCCCCAAATGCCACTAACACACAACAGTGCTGGGCTGGTACAAGACAACCTGGAGCACGTTTCCACAGGGGAATGAGGACACATGATCTTGAGCACCTCCTTCCTGGAGGACTTACATTCTCATGCTTCATGTGCTTGAGTAAGCGCAGCTCTCTATATGTCCTTTTGGCATGGATGATGGACTGAAACGGCCTGGACAGCTTCTTCACAGCCACACGCAACCCAGTTTTTGTGTCAAAAGCAGCACTAAAGGAGAAAAGAAAAAAAATTCCACCTTTAATTAAAAGTGGTCTCAATACAATTCCTTAATATCTACAAGGCCACTTTCTTTCCAATTAAATGGATCTATAACAAAATTTTTAAAAAACCCTTAACATAAGACAAAATCTCACTATAATCTATACACTATAATGGATTGTTTTTGATGTTTACATCTACTCTTTCCTATGTATCTAAATCAGGAGCCAGTAAACCTTTTCCATAAAAGTCCAGAGAGTAGTATTTTATGCTTTTTGAACCCTAAGGTTTTTTTTTTTTTATGGGGGGGGGGTGGTTCTGTGGGCCTGAACTCTGGGCCTGGGCGCTTTCCCTCAGCTCTTCAGCTCAAGGCTAGCACTCTACCACTTGAGCTACAGCACCACTTCCGGCCTTTTTTTTTCTGCTTATGTGGTGCTGAGGAATTGAACCCAGGGCCTCTTGCATGCAAGGCAAACGCTCTACCACCGAGCCACCTTCCCAGCCCAACCCTAAGGTTTTTGTCACAACTATTTGACTTGAAGTTGTAGCTGCAAAGCAGCCAGAAAATAAATTAAAACAAAGTAACAATAGGTACAGCCAGGTTCTAATACACTACGTAGAAACAAGTGGCCTCCTCGTGACCTAGATGAGCCAACAGATCTAGATGAGCCAACAGACTGATAACCAGAGTTCCAGAGTGTCAGTCCTGCTGTCACCTTGTCACATGGTAACTGGTCAGAATTTCATGACCACCTCATGCCCAGGACAATGAACTGGCACAGTTCTTGAGACTCAGAGTATGGGGCACTTTCTAGAGGCTGAGATGCAGCAGGAAACAAATCAGCAAATCACACTCAGGGTAGGTGGGGAGGGGAAGAGCAGAAGAATAAAACACTTTCAAACTGGAATGGATACTGATAAAGATAAAGCAGGGCCAGGGCTGCTGTGCCGAGATGCCTTGGGGATATACCTGAGCTCCAAAGGCAAGCAACCATGCAGAGACATGGGGAAAATGAGCAATAAACCAAGGAAGAATGGTAAAATTAGCAGTCTTTACTTCATGCAAGAAGATGTTCTGAGCCCTATTCGTTACTCTTCTTGAAAATGCTCTTTTGATCTCAACATTCTGACAAAGAAATACGATCATTTCATCACTCACACATGAGGACACTAAAGCACGGTGAAGTGCTTTGTGCCATGTTCACAAAACCAAGAAGTGGCAGAGTAGGGACAGTGAATGCAGAACTCATGTTATTATTTGCTTGGCTAAACTGCCCATCTGAAGAGTAAGTACAGCCAGGCACCAGTTGTTCACACCTGTAATCCTAACTACTAAGGAGGCTGAGATCAGAGGATCATTGTTCAAAGCCAACCCAGGCAGGGAAGTTTGTGGGACTCTTATCTCCAATTAATTACCAAAAAGCTGGAAGTGGAGCTGTGGCTCAAGTGGTAAAACGCAAGCTTTGACCAAAAAAAGCTAAGGGATTATGCCCAGGTTCTGAGTTCAAATCCAGTACTAGCACCAGAAAAAGAGCAAATGCAAACAGCCAAGTGCAAAATAATAAAAACAAACAGAGCCGGAGGACTGGTGGCTCACGCCTTGTAATCCTAGCTTCTCAGGAGGCTGTCATCTGAGAATTGTGGTTTGAAGCTAGCGTAGTGGTAGAGTGCTTGCCTAGCATGCAAGAAGCCATGGGTTCAATTCATCAGTACTACATATAAAGAAAAAGCCAGAAGTATGCTGTGGCTCAAGTGGTAGAACGCTAGCCTTGAGCATAAAGAGGCTCAGGGATAGCATTCAGGCCCTCAGTTCAAGCGAAAAGAAAAAGAAACAGAGGTAAAAAAGTATGGCATGCTGGGGTGAAGAAGAGGGAGGAGAAAGGCACCTGCATGGCAAAGCACAGGAAGGAAGAGGACAACAGGCAGAGAGGAGATGTAGGCAGAGAGGTAGATTCTCCAGAATATCCATGGCAAAAAATGTGATGTGGTCTGGGAATGTGGCTCAGTGGTAGAGTGCTTGTCTTGCATGCATGAAGCCCTGGGTTCTATTCCTCAGTACCACATAAACAGCAAAAGCTGGAAGTGGCATGGTAGCTCAAGTGGTAGAGTGCTAGCCTTGAGCACAGAGAGGCTTAGGGTCAGTGCCCAGGCCCTGAGCTCAAGCCCCAGGACTGACAAGAAAGAAAGAAAGAAAGAAAGAAAGAAAGAAAGAAACAAAGAAAGAAAGAAAGAAAGAAAGAAAGAAAGAGTGATATGGCCCATGCATGGTGGTATACTCCTATAATCCCAGTTACACAGAGAAACACAGCTCTGCCATCAGAGGGTGCTCTCTCACAGACAGCATACTTTAGGCTAGTAGGCTGGATGGTGTCTTCCCTGTCAACCATTTTTTATTACTTCAAACACACTACTTTTTTGTTTCCTAAAAGCCCCTGCCCACAACCCTGATAAGCCATTCCCTTCTGTGGTTATCTGCTAACTTGGAATTTTCCACCATTTACCAAAAAGTCCTGTCTGGGTGTCTCTGTCCACTCCCAACTTATTCTTGGTAACTTCAATACCCAGGTGGCAGGCCTATCTAATGTCCTGTTTCCTGGTCTTCATATCTCTCTCAAACCTTCCAATCACCCACGTTCCTCAAAAGTTGCCCTTGCCGGGGTTGGGAAGATGGCTCAGTGGTAGAGTGCTTGCCTTGCATGCCTGAGGCCCTGGGTTCGATTCCTCAGCACCACATAAGCAGAAACGAAAAAAGCCGGAGGTGGCGCTGTGGCTCAAGTGGTAGAGTGCTAGCCTTGAGCTGAAGAGCTGAGGGACAGCGCCCAGGCCCAGAGTTCAGGCCCCACTACCGGACCCAAAAAAAAAAGTTGCCCTTGCCTTCATGGAAAAAATAGAAACCATCAAACGTGAGTCTGTCTGCCTAGCACCAGATCAATAATCTCATCTGCACCCAGCCCCATCTTCCCTCTTGCTACAGCTAAGGATGCAATGGAGCTTCTTACAAAACCCAAAGCCTCCATACATACTTTGGTGCCATTCCATATCTTCCCAGACCACTTAATCCCCTTTGTCTACTGTTTCAGTGACTGCTTCTCTCTATAACCTTGTCAAATAAATATGCTCTAGCAATCTCCCTTCCTCAACACATTACTTCCCTCAATTTGACTGCCAATCACAGTTAGTCTCCCTGCCTGCTCCCCTCCCCCACCAAAAATCACCTACACCAGTGAGCCCAACACAGGGGAAACAGCCCATCAGTTTCACGTGGGAATATGTAAGAAATGAAAATTCTCAGGCAGCATCCCGGAAACTGAAGGAGGTCCAGTAGTCTGTATTTTCTCAAGCTCTTCACACAACTCCAACTCACTCATCTCTACATCTGCTATTTGGACAAGCAGTGATGCCATCATCTAAGTGTTTGTTGGAAATAGTCTACTGACAAGATTGTCCAGAGTACTGGGCACCAGTGGCTCATGCCTGTAATCCTAGCTATTCAGGAGGCTGAGATTGGAGTATCGTGGTTCAAAGCCAGCCTGGACAAGAAAGTCTGTGAAACTCTTATCTCCAATTAATCACAGAAAAAACTGGAAGTACCACTTTGGCTCCAGTGATAGAGCACTAGCCTTGAGCTGAAGAGCTAAGGGACAGTGCCCAGGCTGAGTTCAAGCCCCATGACCAACAACAACAAAAGAAAAGATTTTCCAGAGTTTCAAACAGTTGTTAAAATCTGGGAGGCACAAATCTTCACAATCCATTCATCATTCCTTCTTGAAGCCATTCAGAAACTGCTCTTCTCCCAATCATTAGTGACCTCTGTGACCAAATCAGATGACCATTTTCCTGAATTAGCAAGGTGACATGGTTACCATTGCCCCCTTCCCCTAAACTCTGTCCCTCCTAGTCTATAGCACTATTTCCATTGGTTCCCAGGAGCTCTCTCCTCCTATCCCCAGCGTGTGCTCCCTTTACTCAAAGCTCCTTTTGACAAAGTTCTTCAGGATATGTCCTGTCTTTTCTTCTCCCTGCCACATTCCATAGCTTCAAGTTAAATGCCATTGAAAACCCTACATCTATATTTCTTACTGAAATATTTTTTTCTCAGCCAACTGCCTGTCAGACATTCTTATATAAAACATATATGGGGGGGCTGGGAAGGTGGCTCAGTGGTAGAGCGCTTGCCTTGCATGCTTGAGGCCCTGGGTTCGATTCCTCAGCACCACATAAGAA